TCGAGCCGCGCGCGGCCTGCTACGGCCTCGCGAGGCCCGCGCGCGGCCCGCAGCAGCCCGCGCCGAGCCGCGCGCGGCCTGCTACTGCCTCGCGCGGCCCGCGCGCGGCCCGCAACAGCCCGCGCCGAGCCGCGCGCGGCCCGCTACTGCCTAGCGCGGCCGCGCGCGGCCTGCAGCAGCTCAGCGCGCTGTCAGCGCAGCCCGCGCCGAGCCGCGCGCGGCCCTCTGCCTCGGCCACGACCTGCCGCTGATGCGGACCCGCCCTGCAGCTACCACGGCCCCGACCTGCCGCTGATGCGGCCCCGCCCTGCAGCTGCCACGGCCCCGACCTGCCGCTGACGCGGCCCCGCCCTGCAGCTGCTTCGGCCCTGCTCTGCAGCCGGTTTTGCGGCCCCGACGCCGCCGCTGTCGTGCGCCTACTCGGCCGCCGCCCGTCGAGCGCCGGCCCTGCTCGCCCGGTGAGCGCCTGCTCTTCCAGCCTTTGGTGAGCGCCTGCCTGCCTGCCTGACGGCCTGCCTGTCTGCCTGCCTGCCTGCCGGCCTGGCTGCCTGCCTGCCTGCCGGCCTACCTGCCTGCCTGCCTGCCTGCCTGCGCGACTGCCTGCCTGCCTGCCGGCCTGCCTGCCTGCCTGCCGGCCTGCCTGTCTGTCTGCTTGCCTGCCTGCCTGCCTGCCTGTCTGCCTGCCTGCCTGCCTGCCTGCCTGCCTGCCTGCCTGCCTGCCTGCCGGCCTGCCTGCCTGCCTGCTTGCCTGCCTGCCTGCCGCGCCTGCCTTGCCCGCGCTACTGCTGCTGCTACTGCTACTGGCAGGTGGCCAGATGCAGCTCCAGCGACGTTCACGCGAGCCTCTGACGCCCCAGCAGCTGGTGGCGCTGGAGCTGGAGGTTCTGGAGCTGCTGAGGGTGCTCGTGCTGGAGGTTCTGGAGCCGCTGGAGGTACTGGTGCTGAGGGTACTGACACCGGAGGTTCTGGAGCCGTTGGGGATGCGGGCGCTGAGGGTTCTGAGTCTGCTGTTGCGCGGTCTCCTTGGAGTGGCCGCCTTCGTCCACGTGTGCCTCTCACACCACAGCAGCTGCAGGACTGGTACGGTCGCCGTCAGCGTCGCGCTGCTGGAGCTAGGAGTGGTGCTGGTCCTTTGTCTACTGGAGGTGCTGGAGTCGCTGGTTCTGGAGGTGCTCGTGCTGGAGACACTGAGGCTGGAGACCCTGGGACTGGAGGTGCTGGTTCTGGGGGTGCTGCTACTGGAGACACTGAGGCTGGAGACCCTGGGACTGGAGGTGCTGGGTCTGGGGGTGCTGCTGCTGGAGACACAGAGGTTGGAGACCCTGGGACTGGGGGTGTCGACTCTGGGACTGGAGCTTCTGGAGCTGCTGGAGGTACGGGAGCTGCTGGAGGTACTGGAGCTGCTGGAGGCACTGGAGCTGCTGGAGCTGCCGGTACTGGTGCAGCTGCGCCGACACGACTGTTCTTCGCTCCGCCGTCTCCGTCGTCTCTGCCGCCGCCTGACTCTGCTCTTCGTCAGGTTGTTACTCTCCCGTCGTCTACTGGTCTTCCGTTACAGACTGGCTCACCGCTACCTGCTCCCTCTCCTTACACTGAGCAGACAGGCAGTCCTGCTACGCGTCGTGAGCCTGCGTCGCGTCCAGTCTCGCCTGTTCGTTCTGGTCGTACTGGTCGTCGTGTTTCTCGTTTGCGTCAGCCGACTGTCCCCAGTGCACACCTTGTTGTCCGTCGTCCTTCCTCTGTTCCGCAGTCTGTTCCTCTGCCGTCTCCCCCTGCGTCCTCTCTGCCTGCCGTTCCGGACCCTGAGTCTGACCGGTTTCGTACTGAGCACCCTACTGTCACGCGTCTTCTAGCCACTGTTGTCACTGACCCGTCGTTTGAGTCTGCTGCTGCGTCTGCCTTGGTCGCTGAGCTTGTTGACTTTGCTGCTGCCTGTCGTCTAGACTACGCCGCTAGTCTTGTTGCTGAGTCTGAGTCTGTCTGTCCTCCGTCCGTCGGGGGTGAGTGTGCTCTTAGCACGGACGTCCTTGAGGACAGGCAGGAGGAGTTCCAGTGTCTTGCTGCTGCTTTACCTCATCTTGTGTCCTCGCTACTTGCCCCTAAGGGAGACCCGGATGCACCAGACATCCCGACTCCGCGCTCTTACGCAGAGGCGATAGAGGGTCCCTACTCCTCTCAGTGGCAGGCAGCCATGGACGCAGAGATGGCTTCCTGGAAGTCCACAGGCACCTACGTTGACGAGGTTCCCCCACCTTGGGCGAACATCGTCAGTGGCATGTGGATTTTCAGGGTGAAGCGGCCGCCGGGTTCTCCGCCTGTCTTCAAGGCGCGTTACGTGGCTCGAGGCTTCAGTCAGCGAGAGGGAGTTGACTTCTTCCAGACCTTCTCCCCCACCCCGAAGATGACCACTCTTCGGGTGCTGCTGCACGTTGCTGCTCACCGTGACTACGAGCTTCACTCTCTTGACTTCAGCACAGCTTTCTTGCAGGGTAGCCTGCACGAGGAGATCTGGCTGCGTCGCCCCCCGGGATTCACTGGGTCGTTCCCTCCTGGTACCTAGTGGAGCCTCCGGCGGCCGGTCTACGGTCTCCGCCAGGCGCCACGTGAGTGGCACGACACACTGAGGACTACGCTTGCGGCTCTTGGGTTTGCGCCTTCTACTGCTGACCCGTCGCTGTTTCTGCGCACCGACACTTCGCTGCCGTCGTTCTACATCCTCGTGTACGTCGACGACTTGGTTTTTGCCACTGCTGACACTGAGGCTCTCGCCCACGTGAAGTCGGAGCTGCAGAAGAGACACACGTGCACAGACTTGGGTGAGCTGCGCAGCTACCTTGGCTTGCAGATCACCCGAGACAGAGCACGTCGCACCATCACCTTGACTCAGTCACACATGGTGCAGCAGGTCCTTCAGCGCTTCGGCTTCACCTGGTCTTCAGCACAGGCCACTCCTCTGGCTACAGGTCACACGCTCTCTGCTCCACCTTCGGACGAGTCCGTAGAGCCGAGTGGTCCTTACCCAGAGCTAGTCGGCTGCCTCATGTACCTGATGACTTGCACTCGACCTGACCTCGCGTACCCTCTTGGTCTTCTGGCTCGCTACGTGGCTCCTGGTCGGCACCGACCTGAGCACATGGCTGCTGCTAAGATGGTACTGCGCTACTTGTGCAGCACATCAGGCATGGGGCTAGTGCTTGGAGGGACGAGCCCAGTTGTCCTCACTGGACACTCAGACGCTTCTTGGGTTGACGACCAGGCTACTCAGTGGTCGTCACAGGGTTACACCTTCAGCCTTGGCTCTGGTTCAGTTTCGTGGCGTTCTACACGTTCGTCTTCAGTTCTCAGCTCCAGTTGTGAGGCTGAGATCTACGCCACAGCCATGGCTGCACAGGAGTTACGCTGGCTCACCTACCTGCTGACTGACTTAGGAGAGAAGCCTAGTTCTCCTCCAGTGCTGTACGTCGATAACAAGGCCGCCATTGCCTTGTGTGAGGAGCACAGACTGGAGCACAGAACGAAGCACATTGCTCTGCGTTACTTCCTGGCTCGAGAGTTGCAGCAGCGAGGCCAGCTTCGTCTTCGCCACGTGGCCACTCGGGCCAACACTGCTGATATATTCACCAAGGCACTTCCGTCTGGTGATCATCAGCGCTTTTGTACTCTGTTGGGCCTTGTGCCTACGTTTCCACACTTGCTGTAGTCTCTGCTTGTACTGTGATCTATATATATACCTGCATGCTGGCTCTTGCTAGGTAGCCATCACTGTACTGTTATTGCTGCATATATATCTCTGCATGTGAACTGGCCCTGTGGCCTTTTGCTTGTGCTCGGAATGCGTGGTGACGTTGTGATCCACCCTGAGCTTGTTTTGCTTCTCTTGACTGGTCGTGTGACCCCTTGTTCTCCCCCACTTTGCCTATGGAGGTGTGTCAAACTATATGTGCTGCATATTGTTTAGGCTGTAGTGGGGTAGCCCATATGGGGTACAACCCAATTAGGGTTTACTACTTGTACTCCTGCATCCTGTTAGTTCATTCATTCCTGCTGCTAGATTCTGATATTAACGTTAATATTTTAGTTTGGCTTGAAGTTTCACACTGAAAAATTCAGCATAAATTTAACCACCAACGCTGATTTGGACACCAATTTGGACACAGCACACTGATCGATCAGCATACCCCCAAACCAATCTGAGGGCCTGGTCGAGGTAGTGTAAATAATATTTCGTCCGCCAATCAATGGTCAAGATTATTGGACCGCCCGTTTGAGTTTCGGACGGTCCACGGTTCGCATTTCGAAGTGTCGCGACGGTTCGATTTGTTAACGACGTCGCACAAGCTTTCACGAAATTATTGACGACCTTGTGCGAAAAAGGTATCCCTTCGCCGGCCCGGACGGTCCACGGTTCGAACCGTCCGGGACAAAATGGTTACACGCCCTAACCCTCGATCCTACTAAAGCCGAGATCGGTGTGGCCACGAGGGCACGTCGATCTCATCAGCGTAGGTGACAAGATCGTTGGGCACCCATTACTGTAGATTCGCAAGCCTTCTCGAAATTTAATTTCCTTGTAAATTGCAAAAATGTAGCTGTCCCTCGATCGATCGAGGCCAGGATAGATCGAGGGAAGGGACGCGCCCTGAGATAGGTTTCGCTTGCAGGTGGGTTGGGGTAAACGAAGAACGACGAACAAATGGCTTCAATTTCGCGGGGGTGTCTCGTAACGTCCCGGAGCTTTCGGGTGTTTAGCAATTTCCTCATATCTCTAATACATTGTCAAGTCTTAAATATGACAGTTACAACTGCCTATGTTTTTGTGCACTTTTTTAGTGTATTTTTCACTAAAAAAATGCAACTGAACCAATACCCCAGATTTTATTGAATTCTAAAATCGCAGCAAAGCACCTTCCATCATTAGCAACCTACAAAACCAAATATTAATAGAACCAACCCTGTCGACCTCCGTTCAGTTGGCTCAGCAAAGCCCCAACATGTTCCTACTATCCTCCAAAACAGCAAAACAGGGAGCCCCCTCCCTGGCCCACTGCATCATCCTTCTCGCTATCCTCATCCCATTTCTTCTCAAACCATGCATGCTTCAACAGGTCTTGGCTCTGAATTCTCTCCTCCGGATTAATCTGCAGCATCGCAAGGTACAAGTCCTTCCCTTCCTCCGTCACTGCAGTCCATTTCTTCTTGCTCGGCGGCGGCACGCCGTACTTTGCCACATCCTGGGGCTGCTTATAACGAGGCAACTCCCCAAACAGCAGCGCGTGCAGCACCACTCCAAGGCTCCACACATCCGCAGAATAGGTGTACTTCTGCCCGGTAACCAGTTCCGGTGCCATGTAACCCTCTGTGCCACACTTCCCCTGCAGCTTCTGCCCTTCCTTAACCATCACTGCAAGCCCAAAGTCTGCGAGCTTGATAGTGAAAGGGAGCTCTGAGAACAGGGAAGATGTGACGGGAATCCCTTCAGGTGGAGGGCCAGCAATTTTCACCTTACCGCATGTGCACTTGCTCTGCCTAGGCCTTGGGACCTCTTCCTCAGTGGAGCTTCTCGGAAGAGATTCCGCCGCTGCTGCTGGCGTCTCCTTCCCTGCGTCTGACGCCCCTCCCTCGGTCCTGATGCTCTCATCTCCCACCCTTGCGCTCTCTCCTGCAGCCATCTCCTCAGCATCTCCAACTGAATCGATTGTGAAGAGCCGAGGCACCTCATCTTTCTGCTCTATATCCTGCAAGTCGCAGTCCAGGCAGAACCTCTGGTTCAGCGCCAGCAGCACATTCTCAAGCTTTATATCCCGGTGTACCACGCTCTTGGCGTGACAGTACTGCACTGCTTCCACTAGCTGCCGAAACACGTCGACCGCGTCCTTTTCGGGCAACCCGCCTGCATACCCGAGCTTGAGCTTTTTCCGGGCTGCGGTGCTGGCCTCCATCTGCTTTACAAGGTGATCCTTTAGAGTGCCGCCATCGCAGAGCTCCATTACCACACGGAACCTGTCTTTAGTGTTGTAAACTTTCTTCACCTGCACAGAGAATCGGAAAAAGAGAGAGGGAATGGGAGGGCCAAGCGAACGGGGCGGGTGGGGGGTGGGGTTGGGGGGATGTGGAGGAAAGGTGGGATGGGGATGGGGGGATGGGTGAGTACGCCATAGCTGCCTGACACCAATAAGTGCCCCAGCTAGCCAATCTCACTATGCACCTTTCGTTCCCCCGTTATCCTGCATTTGGTGATTCCTGCACTAGGAAAAAATACGAATACTTTTCTAGGGTTAAAACGTAAGTATCCGTCCTTTTGCTAATAACGAGGTTGTCCGTCCCTTTCCCTTTTTTCCCTTGCCCCGCCCATCATACTCCGCGCTACCTTCCCCAGCCATCGCAAAACTGCCGTGTCGTTTCCAGCGTCGCCACCAACTAACGCGAGGGCAGGTGTAGAAACGGGCAACGGGAAACCGAAACTCACAGGGAAACCTAGGCATAAAAAGGGAACCTGAAACCCTAATTTGATAACGGGATTTGTACGCGGCATCCACGGTGCCTCCCGAAGCGCATGCCCTCCAAACTGGTTTTATTCCTTCCAGCACCCCCAGTAGACATCCCGTCGGGCTCTCGGGCGGAAAAGGTAGCTTGCTGAAAATATTTTTGGTCCTTCCCGTCCTTTTCCCCCTTCTGAACTCAGCATGAACCCACCCGCACCCCACACCACCCTTTCCACTTTTCGCTCTCTCCCCTCCCCCTCTTCCTTTATTCTGCCCACTCCTCAGCTCACACCCTCCCCGCGCCTCGGCCCCTCCCACCTCACCTGCACAATATTCGGGTGGTCGCGCAGCAGACCTAGAATCTTCACCTCGCGCTCCAACGCGCGGTGCCGCTCCATCAGCTGCCCCGCGTTCTCGCACTCCTCGTACATCGCGACTTTATCGATCGTTTTCACCGCGAGCGGCTGCGACCCCATCTCGCCGGTCAGATCGCTGCACTTGTGCACCAGCCCGAACCCGCCTTTGCCCAGCTCCGCGCCGACCTGGAACCGTCGCGTGAACTGCATCGAAAACGGCGTCGAGCCCCACGACGCCAAGCGACGCATGCGACGCGCGACGGTAACCACTCTGCCTCCTCCTCCTCCGCCTCCGCCGCCGCCGCCGGCTCCGCCTCCTCCGCCGATGCGCTTTTTGAACGCCTCGAGCGCGGCCACGCTTTGAGGAACCATTCTCCCGCTAGGAGATTTCGCAAGACCGTCGCGCTCGTCTGCCTTTTCCCCCGCTCCTGCAATATTACCGTCGGCGGCGGTGGCGGCGGTAGAAGCGCCGGGCGCAGCGGCACCGGCTTCGGGAGCATCTGGCTCCGCGAAAGCGACGCGCCGAGCGCTTCCGCTTCCGTCCTTTTGAATACCCTGCCCTTCCGCCGCCGCCGCTGCTGCCGAGGCTGTCGTTGTTGCTGCCGCTGCTGCTGCGCCTGTTTCTTCACCTCCTGCCGCTGTTAAAGCGGGAGCGTCAGTCGATGTTTCCGCCTCCGTACTCTTTGTTGCAGTATTTTCCGGGGCTTCTCCCTCTAACTGGACTGTATTAGCCTTCTCCGCGCCCGCTGTTTGCGCCGCTTCCGTAGGTTCCGCCATCCCGAGGGCGCTTCAAACGGGGACTTTTTAAGCGGAGCTGAAGCAGACTCACAATATCATACCAGGTAGAAGCAGGCTCACTGCCTGCCACTGGGTGCTGGGTCGGCGAAAAAAACTGAAAGAATAGCCTCAAGAATGTCTCAAGGAACGAGATTGCCCCGACTAAGTGCGGTTCGAGGGGTTGATCTGACGCTTGGTATGAACGATATTTTGCGGTCGCGATAAGTTAAGAGGGGATTGCTGACGGTCCGCGATGTCAGTCTGAGCCTTGTCAATCTCGAAAGTCCCATGCGCTTAGAGATTCAGAAAGGAGGAACCAAAGCAAGTTGCGCAAAGTGGTGTTACAGTAATAAAAAAGCTGTCGAGATTCCACCTGGGACACTCTTTATGGCACTCCGACCTAATGCTGGAGTTCTCTTCAATGATAGAAAGGCGGAGGAAACGATGAAGTCAGTCACTAGTCGCGGTTTGCTCTTATATGATGCACGTCAGGGGTCTCCGGCGAGTCTTGTGACGTTGATGAAACGGAGCGTTTTGGTTCAGGCTGTTGTGCATAGTGCATTTTGCTTCGGAGAGGGGCACAGTACAGCAGTGTGCATAAAGCTACATCCCTAGGTTTGGGTCTCCCTTCTTCGATCAGAGCACCAAACATGGGGGGAACACCCAAAACGGTACACCAAAATGAAGCTCAGCAAAACATTTGGATGTGCACCAAACATGAGCTACCAATATGCCCTCCACCGCCCAGATGACGGGAATGGTGTGATGAAACGGTGCGCTCAGTGCACAAAGTGCAACGATGAGCCAACATCGTGTCAGCTCTGGTTGATTCCAGGTCCGGCACGAGTTCCTGAAAACTCTGTACAATAGAAACGTGCAGTCTAGTCATTTGACGATCCACTGTAAAGTCGGTGCGTGCCGAAAGTGGAACAACCGCCCGAGAAAAAAGTTTGACCTGCGATGCGCACCGTGTACAGTAGATACACTTGTACACCCGCATCTGTGCGTTTCAGCTTGCCCATCGTAAATTCTGAACCTTCATATCATTCCAAACCTTCAGCTGTGCTTTCATCCATCCAGGCTCGGTGAATCCCCAGCTTGCCTGGGGCAGCGCCAGATGAAAGCCGTGCTGCAGAAGGTGAGAGGAAGGAGGTCGGAGGACGGACAAGTGGGGGTCTTGGGGGAAAAGCTCGGCTCGGGTTATTCGTGCACAGTGCACACGGCAGCACTGTCTCGTGCTGTGTGGGGGGAATGGAATCAAAAAGGGACTCGAGGGGACATGGATAGTGGGGGTGTATGGGGGAGGAGGGGCCGCGCTGCCGCGCAGCGGAAAAAAAAATATCAGACCGGCCGCAGGCCACCTTCGCGGTTGGTCAGGTCACCTGCACAGTACACGCAGCTACTGCGAAGAGCGGATTTAGCGGCAGGGGAAAAGTGGTCCGCATTTGACGGACTCCGTTTGCAGTGTATTTACTGTAAGGAATTATCGCCCTAAAAATTGCATCCTCAGAGAACTAGTTTTTCCCACTAGTGATCTTGAAAACCATTTCATACCCATGAGGCATATACATATCAGAGCACGTTTATGCGCATCCGTTCTCATACGTTTCCCCCAACGTAGGGTTATTCAAAGTGGGGGAAGGATACCATGCTTCATGATGTCTTATATAGTATCAGTGTTTTTTATTCCTAGTTGAGCTTTTGAAGAGAACCACTATATGCATCTGTGTTAGAATAGTAGCCTAAGTAGACTAGGGTTTTGGGGTATGAGAGTAGCGAGGGAAACGGAAGAAGAGGGCTTACACTAATGAGCAAGATACATGATATAGTTCAAGGGAAGGTGAGCACAGTGGTGCACCACCAAATAGTTAAGAACAATAACTGCAGTAACTACAGCACGCAGGATATATATTAAACATAACTTTGACACACCCCCTTAGCCTGCGTGCAGTAGAAACTGGTGCAGCCAGCACCCCCTGAACGAGCAAACCAAGCGCTGTGGAAGAAGGCAGAGAAGTGAGGAAGGTGAGAGGAGAGGAGAGAAGAGGAGAGGAGAGGAGAGGAGAGGAGAGGAGGTGGGGGGCCAGGACCGGCGGACCCGCTTACGAACCTCCTTTTACAAAGGGGAGGTGAGAGAGGGAAGGGAGAGGAGGTGGGCTAGGCGGGCTTGAGCGCGAAAGCTCATAGCGATCCCCCCCCGTTAAGAACCCCCAAGTCCCGATGAGGAGAGGAGGTGGGCTAGGCGGGCATGAGCGCGCACGCTCAATGCGATCCCCCCCCGTTAAGAACCCCCTAGACCTCACCCCCCTCGTCACTCAACCCCGTCAACCTCACACCTTCCGCACCTGTCTTCTCTCCCGCCACCCCCTCACCCTTCTGCACTTCTCTCCCCCCCCCCCCCCCTACAGCAACAAGTGCTGCAGGGAGAGAGGAAGAGGGAAGGGAGGGAGGAGTGGCAGGCTCCTCACACCCGCCCCCCCTCCCCACAACCCCTTCCCCCTCCCTCCCCCCTCCCCACGACGGAAGCCGCGGAAGGGAGGGCGGGGGGGGGGGGGGGGGGGGTGGCGGTAGCTGCTGCTGGCGCTGGCGGCTGGCCGCGGCGCTGGCCTCCGCGCTGGCGGATTGCGGGGTGACGGGGGCGACGAAACGGGGGCCGCGTGGCGACGAAATGGGGGCCACGTGGCGACGAAACGGGGGGGCAGCGGGGCGACGAATCGGGGGGCCGCGGGGCGACGAAATGGGGGGCCGCGGGGCGACGAATCAGGGGCCGCGGGGCGACGAAATGGGGGGCCGCGGGGCGACGAATCAGACGGGCGCAGGGCGCGACGGGACGAAGAAAATAGCGCATTTCGCGCTGCATTAAGGGCGGGCCCATGTTTCTGAAAAAAAAATGAAGGTTCTAGGAAAGAACCAGCTCTGATACCATGTTAGAATAGTAGCCTAAGTAGACTAGGGTTTTGGGGTATGAGAGTAGCGAGGGAAACGGAAGAAGAGGGCTTACACTAATGAGCAAGATACATGATATAGTTCAAGGGAAGGTGAGCACAGTGGTGCACCACCAAATAGTTAAGAACAATAACTGCAGTAACTACAGCACGCAGGATATATATTAAACATAACTTTGACAATCTGCAACATAGGGGCCGTACACTAGGATATACACTAGCAAATTCTGTGACATCACACAAATGCCATTTTTTACCTACTGTACAGTACCAGGCTTAATGCCTCCACAAGCTCTACATACACCCCGTAATCAGGGCTTACCGTATTAGGCTAACAAATCCAACAGTACCGAGCCAGGCCTGGTTCAAGACGACGATCCGCTCCCCTCACTGCCTCTAAAGCCCCGCTCCTTGGAGGACGCAGAGTTGCGAATATCAGCAAGCGAGAGACACTTAGAGGACCCGTTGCGACCAGCAGGCACCACTACCCCCCCTCCTTTCCCTCCGTGCACCACCTGCTGCTGCTGTTGCTGCTGAGAGAAACGGTACGGCTGGTGTTGGTACGGGTGCTGCTGCTGCTGCAGCTGTTGTGCAGCAACACCCCCCCCTCTGCTCTGGGCATATCCCCGGGGCTGGAATCAACCAACAGGTCCACATGCAGGTTGCTCTGCCTCACCCGCTGCCGATGCAAAGCAGCCAAACCAGAAACAGCTCCTGCCGCTCCTGCTGCCCCTGCCACTCCTGCTACTCCTGGTGATCCAGATAAACCTGGTGCTATCTCCTGCTTGGCTAATGCTGGCCGAGGGGACGGGTATGCTCTTTCTCGTCGTCGTCCTCCTCCTCCTCCTCCTCCTCCTCCTCCTCCTCCTCCTCCTCCTCCTCCTCCTCCTCCTCCTCCTCCTCCTCCTCCTCCTCCTCCTCCTCCTCCTCCTCCTCCTCCTCCTCCCCCTCCTCCTCCTCCTCCTCCTCCTCCTCCTCCTCCTCCTCCTCCTCCTCCCCCTCCTCCTCCTCCTCCTCCTCCTCCTCCTCCTCCTCCTCCTCCTCCTCCTCCTCCTCCTCCTCCTCCTCCTCCTCCTCCTCCTGCTCCTCCTGCTGCTCCCGATACTTCCAGTGCTTCCGCTGTAGCATGATCATCTTGATCAGCAGCAGCAGCAGCATCAGGAGCAGGAGGGAAGAGCATCCAGCTTTTCAGGCTACCAATGCCTCCCATGCTGCTGGCTCTACTGATACCACCCGTTCCTGGGATCCTGACGGACGCACCTTGCTTTCTCTCCAGCACAACACCACTCACACCACTGCCGCTACCACTGCCACTGCTTCTGATGCTGCCCCTGGCACTAGGTCTGGTTGCAGAATGAGGCGAGGCATTAGCAGCAGCAGCTGCAGCAGAAGTGGGAGTGGGAGATGGAAGTGGTCGCCTGCTCATGGGGCTGTCCTCTCCAAAGCCACAGCCGCTACTGATAGAGGCTGAACCCCTGTGTCGCCCCTGCCACCGCTGCTGCTGCTGCTGCTGCTGCTGCTGCTGCTGCTGCTGCTGCTGCTGCTGCTGCTGCTGAGGAGGAGGATACTCAAAGCCATTGACGACCATAGGAGAGACGCTGGGAGCAGCAGCGGCAGCGGCGGCAACGGCGGTAGCAGAAGCACTGCTTCCCTTGCTCGGCCCCATGGCCCCCCCTCTACCAGCACTCATTCCCACAGCACCAACAGCACCACCGTACCCCCCTGTTGCCTGCCCTCCACTTCTCTCCCCTCCCACAGTGATGCTAGAGGGGAAGGAACTCCAAGAGGAGACCCTATGGTGCCCAGAACGCCTACCTGTTGATCCCCCTACTCCTCTTCCTCCCCTCCCCTCCTCCTCCTCCTCCTCCTCCTCCTCCTCCTCCTCCTCCTCCTCCTCCTCCTCCTCCTCCTCCTCCTCCTCCTCCTCCTCCTCCTCCTCCTCATCCTCCTATTCCTCTCCCCTCTCCTCCTAAGCCTGCACCGGAACCCAAACCTGTCCCTGAACCTGAACCCCAACCTGACCCCGAACCTGACCCCAAACCTGACCCCAAACCGGATCCTGAACCTGATCCCGAGCCTGACCTCACGCGCCTCCTCTCCCACAACCCCAGTTTCGCCATCCCCCCTTCGGAAGAGCTACTTGCGGAATGCTCCAAGGGGTACTCCGCAGAATGCCCTCGTTTTACCTTCTCCCTTCCAGAACTATACCCTTCTGCAAGATACCCTGGGAAAACCATCTCTCCTGCTCTCAACTCCCCACGTTCCCCTTGCCTCCCTGCAACAGCCGTCTCGCTCCTTGCATCAGCCTCTCCCCTTATCCTATCCCCACACATCTCCAACCCCTCCCGGCTCCATACCTCCTCTCCACCTGCCTCCATCCCCCTGGAAGCCTCTGCACCTGGACTCTCATCCTCCTCGGAGGGTTCTGGGTAGTAGGGAGTGGGCAGACGGGGCGGGGAGGCTCGAGAGAAAGCCTCATCGCAAAAACCATCATCTTCGAAATTGGATTCATCTCTTTGCCCTTCCCCATAGGCAAGAGCAGCAGGAGGAGGGGGAGGATGAGCAAGAGGAGGAGGAGTGGGCGGGGTTTGAGGGGACGGGGCAGGCATAAAGCTTCCCCTGGCGTTTGTTGTTGCTACTGTTGATGCTGACGCTCCATCATGCATCGGAGCACGGTCTGGTTGCTGCACATGCATTTCCACCATACACTCTTGCTGCTGCTGCTGCTGCCGCTCTAAGCTATTGGCTCGACTGTTGCTGTCACTGTTGCTCCTATCCATACGTTCTGACGGATGTTTAAGGATCCCTTTTCGAAGGGGAGAGTAGACTATAGAGCCACTCCCATTATTGTCTGTGCTGCTGCCGCCACTGCTGATGCTACTGATGCTGCTGCACGCACCAGCACCGTAGCCACTACTGCCACTGCCGCTGCCGCTGCCGCTGCCGCTGCCACTGTTACTGCTAACGAGCTTTCCTCCACCCGACAATCCTTCCAGCTGCTGCTGCTGCTGCTGCTGTCGTGGCGGTGGGGACAAAGAGCTGCTGTGCACATAATGCATACGCACTGGCTCCTTCCAACTGCTACTGCCGCCACCACGCCCCCCCTCCATACTTCCACTCCCGGATCCACCCCTACCCCCACTCCCAACCCCAAACACACTCCTGTTCTTGCCTTGCATTTCTATCTGCTGCAGCCATACCTCCTCAGCCTCCTCCTCCCCTGCTTCCTCCTCCTCCTCTCTACTTCTCCTCTCCTCCTCCTCCTCCATTCCTCTTCTGCCTCCTCGGGGACTGCACTCTGCCACGCTGGCAGCTGCTGCTGCCAGCTCAGCATCCACGTCAGCATCATCTGTGGTAAGAGTGTACGGCGTGGGCGATCGTAGCGCCATGCCTCGTTTCATCAGCGCATGAGTCTCGTGAGATGTAACCATGCTGTTGCGAGGAATGCTGCTGTTGGTGTTGCCACCACCACCATTATCACTGCCACTGCCACCGCCACTCCCACTCCCACTCCCACTCCCACTGCCATTGCCACTGCCATTGCCATCACCACTTACATCCCCACTGCCCCCCAGACTCCCAGCACTATCCCTTCTCCTTCCAAGGCCAACCACACCACCAGCACTACTACTCCCACTACCACCCACACTGCCACTGCCAGTGGTGGTGCTGCTGCTAACATGACTCAAAGAACTCTTGCCTCGAGAGGGAAAAGGAGCCAGCAGTCCCACATGTGGGGGTGAACCCACACCACCCACACCACCCACACCGCTTCCACTTCCAGCAATCCCTCTCCCTCCTCCCACCCCTCCTGTGAAACCCCCTCCTGTGATCCCCCATTCTCGTGCCCCTCCCCCTGCAACTGCTCCTGCCGCTCCTCCTGCCCCTGCGCCTGTTCCCGCTCCCGCTCCTGCTGCTGCTCCTAGCGCCAGGGCAGTTGCGAATCCGGGCAGAGTCGCAGCACCCACAGGCAGGGAGTTTTGGCGCAGGTGAAAGGCTCGTGATGCTGCAGAGAATGCCGCAAAACCAGCACCACTGCCACCCGCGACACCAGCTCCAGCAGTGCCAGCAGTGAAAGCAGCGCTGATGCCACCACCACCACCACCACCACCACCACCACTGCTGGTGCTGACGCTGCTGGGACTTACCAGGCCAAATCCGGCCATTCCCAAACCAAGCCTGCTGCTGCTGCTGCTGCTGCTGCTGCAGCCGATACTGCTGCTGATGCTGTTGCTGCTGCGGTGCCTGCCACTTACAGTGTTGCTGGCTGCTCGCCTGACTAGCGGTGGAGCAGATGGGCTGTTGGGTACCCACACATTACTGCTGCTGCCCTGCCAATTGCTGCCAGCACCAGCAACAATTCCAGCAGCACCAACAGCAGCGACATCAGAAGCAGGGGGAACAGCTGTTGCAGGCAGAGCTGCAGCAGGGGCAACAGCAGCGTCGCCAGTGCAATCGGCATATTCGCTCTCCTCGTCGCTATCAGCAACCGGGTAGTAGGGCGTGGGTTGCCTCTCCGAGACCTTCCCCCCCACAATTTCCTCCAGATGCCCTCTCTGCTCATCGCTCGCCCCTGCTTCTGCCACTGCTGCTGCTGCTGCCAGATTCTGCTGTTGCTGCAGGGTAAACAGCATATCACTCCGACCGTGCTGCCCGTGCCACTCCTGCTGCTCCTGCTCCTGCTCCTGCCCTTGCAATTTCTGTTGCTGATGATGCAGCAGTTGCAGATGCTGCTGCTCCTGGTGCCACTGTTTCGAACCCTGGAAGCTTGCGGCAGCCGAAGCTGCTGCTGCCGCTGCTGCTGCTGCTGATGCTGCTGGTAGTGGGGAGGCTTGCAGAGGACCGTGGGGAGAGCGACAGTTAAACTGGTGCTGATTGGGGGCCAAGTTTAGCATATAGTTGTGATGATACTGCTGCTGCTGTTGCTGAAGCTGTTGCTGCTGCTGCTGCTGCTGCTGCTGCTGCTGCTGCTGCTGCTGCTGAGATGTGTCCATACCTGTCACAATCCCAGCTCCGTACAGAGAATTAGGAAGAGAACCGAGAGCAAATCTAGCCGAATCAGCAAGGATATTGCTCCAGCTGCCACTGCCGCTACCACCGCTACTGCTACCGCTGCTGCTGCTGCTACTGCCACTACTACTACTGCTGCTGCTGCTGCTACTACCACCACTACAGTCACCACTTTCGAATTTACCCAATAAGCTGTGGTCACTCCGACAGCCATGCATCCCCTCAGCAGCAGCAGCAGCCCCACCTTTCCGACCCACTCTCCCGCTCGCTCCAGCGGCCTGCTCGTGCCTCTGCTGCTCGTCAGCGCGCTCCTGCCTTCTCCGCTGCAGCAGCAGCTGGTGCGAGGCAGCACACGTGCTTCGAGGCTCTTCGGTAGGTGCCAGCTGCGGGTGGGAGGCGTCGGCAGGTGGAGCGACGGCATGTGCTGCTGCACCAACAGGAGCAACAGCAAGCGCAGCAGCAAGCGCAGGAGGAGCAACGCCATCGCAATCGCCATCGCCATCGCCAGTGAGCGTATTGGCTCCTGCGACAGTCTGCACGTGCAGTGGCGAGGCGACAAGTGCGCGATCGCTGGCGCAGCAAGGGGGATAAGGGCTCGTGGAGGATAATGGACCAGGAATCCAAGCCGAGGAGGAGAAGTAAGGAGACCCGTACAGCGAAGCAGGAGTGAAGGGGAAAGGAGGTGGAAGAAGGGGCAGAGGAGGGGGTGCGAGAGGAGGAGACGATGGTGCGAGCTGGTATAAGACAAACGGATGCGACAGCAGCTGCTGCGCTGTAGGCCGCGCGGTGGGGTCTCTAACGAAGCACCTCTTAAGGAAGTCTTTTCCGTCGTGGGATAACCCCGGGGGGGGCTTGGGGCGCTTGAGTGTGGTGCGGGCGAGAGGGAGGAGGAGAGGGGACGGAGGGTGGGGGCCCACTGCAGGGGTGGTTGAGGATTGGCCTGTAGCTAGCTCTATCACAGTGCAACCAAGGGACCATATGTCTGCTGCCCGTGCTGCTGCTGCCTGCGCTGCCGTCGCTGCTGCTGCTGCTGCTGCTGCGTCGGCTCCCGCAGCAGCAGCAGCAGAGCCAGCAGCAGCGGACGACGGCTCTTCCACCCCCGCAGTCTGCAGCCATGCCAGCATCTGCGTAGCAACACCCGCCCCATGCTCTTGCCGCTGCCCCTGCTGCTGCTGCTGGTGCTGCTGGTGCTGCTGCTGCTGGTCTCCTCCCTCCACAACAGCTGATCCGAACCCGCACAGTTTCAGCAGCGGATAGCTTACGGAAAAAATTGCGGGGTAACTATAGCCCAGGGAATAATTTACAGGATAGGCTGCAGAATAACCCCCGCCGTGTGCGCTCAGCGGGTCCACGAGCACATGCGCGGCGCGCAAGTCGCCATGCGCGACGCCTCGAGCGTGAATCGCGGCGAGGCTCTCCACTAGGGAGCGAGCGAAGCGACGAATCAGAGCCTCGTCAAGTCCGCCGGGAAACGCGGAGAGCAGGGAGTCTAAACTGCTTCCGGAGACGTGCTCCATGAGCAACGTGACGAAAATTACCTGTTCCTGCCGCGTCTTATTATCCGCAAGTATTGAATGCTCCTGCAGCTGCTGCTGGTGCTGCTGCTGGAGACGAGCTTGCTCGAGATTTTGCGAATCCTGCTCGGACGGAACGCGTTGCTCCGCCGCGGCCCCGCCAGTGGCTTCCGCTCCGCCGATTGGTTCCGCCGACCAATCCCAGCCCAGCAGCTGCACCGCGTGCGGGCATCCGCGGAGCCGTTCAAGCGCGCGGACCTCGTTCGTTAGCACGCGCAAGCCGCCGCGAGCCGTCGTTTCCGCAGCATTATTCCCCGCTGCGTCAGTCGAGTTTCCCCTGTCACTGCTAGTTGGCTCATTGTGTGGTTCACCCTGCGTCTTTAAGCGTATACGCTTCCCAACCATTAGTCGAGCCGTGGAGTTATCGATCGCTAGATGCGCCTTGCTGGCCGGGAAGAGCGGGCGACCGAGACGCCAGCTCCTGTTTCTAAGCGGAGGCGGCGGGGGAGGCGCGTGGGGGGGACGTGCCGCGACGGCGGCAGCTGTGAAGTGTGACCGTTGATCGCTATGCGCTGCGGATGATGGTGACGGATGGATGGCGATTGCTGTGTCAGCAAGAGGTGGAGAGTTGAGGGAGGTGGAGGAGGAAAAAGCGGCGGGTTTTGCCGGTGACCGAAGGGGGAAGGTGGCGCAACGCGGGTTTGAGCGAGGAGGTGGTGAGTCGTCACTGCGAAAGTCGTCGAGCCCTCTGCGAAGCTCGTCATCAAATTCGCGATCATCTTCCAGGAGAAGCATGAGCTCCTTTTGGAGAAGCGGCTGGTGAATAACTACCGACGCCATTCTTCCGCAGCAACTAAGAGTTCTGAGAGTTCTGAGTTAAATATGCATCTTTGATTTAAAAATCCGTCAAAATATTCATAATCAAAGGCAACAGAGACCAAAGCAGGAACACAATATCACTGGCAAACAAAAATGTTGCGTGCGGCGAGAGGACAATGGTGGGGCTTCGGACGAAAGGTGCAGTGGATTGCTGCTGCCTGCTGGAACTGCGAATGGTAGGAAAATGAATGTAGAACGCTCCAACCCTTTGGCAACGTCGCTGTTGCAAGAAATCACAAGTCTCACTCCATCCATCGCTCTTGTTTTTCTTGACAGAACGGCAAGGACGATCAACCGCCACCACCGCCATGGAAGTTGGATTTGCTCACTGCAGCAAAACACAATCAACAGAAAGAGGAGCCACGACGACTCACGAACAACTCGCGAATGTTCACGAAGCTCGTCAGCCGAAAGTTGGAAAGTCTACGACAAGCCCAAGGAGCCAGAATCTGAGGCATTGGTTGGGACAAACTCAAGGGATCCAAAAAAGAGCTGGCGTAACAATGAAGTTTGACTGCATTCCTGACATATCTCGTTCAGATGTTTCAGCTCGGTTTGCTGAGTTTCCAATCGTTTTATTGTTATTAGGAACGATTGGATCTGGTGCTTCAGTTGCTTGACCAAGTTCCGCGGTTGTGGTGTAGTGACCCGTTGCCTCAGCGTGGTCGTCAGGCGAAAAGGGAGCAGCATTGGGATTTGCTGTCGGACTGCAAATTGCAACTTTTTCCACACAGCGTCAGGTGAGGGCGTGAGGTAGGGGGGCATGCCCTCACCGCGCCACAGGCCAGAGATCCCATGCGATTCGATAAGTTGGGAGCTGCTGGGCGGCAGTTTGAAAATTCCTCAGGCCACAAAAATCGGGGCCCATTCTCTCCGTGTGTGTGGGACAACTCTTTGTTGCATATCCCGATTTACAGACTGGTGTTTGAACTCTCTTTATAACAATCACGCTCCCTTGTTATCATTGTCCGGAAGTGCTAATCTGTGTTTTTTGCATTGTGTAGTGCACCAATAAATTGACTTTTTTAACGAAAAAAACTCCGGTGCCTAAAAATCTTCATCTAGCTAAAAAATGGCCCTGACCTGTCTGGTGTGCTGATAATTTATATTCTCATATTTTGCAAAACAAACTTCTATTCATACCACATACTTTCTTCATTCTCATTAATGGACGACTTCCGTTACAATTTTAGCAGCAGTACCTATTTAATTTCATCTGTGCTGCTTTTAGGAATCCAGTATTTGCGTTTTCCATTTCCCTTTTTACACTCTAGCATCGTCTAACCTGCCAACCCTTCAAGCCTACAGCGGGAAAATCCAGCAGCCGTTCCCCATTCACGGCAGCGCGGCGCGCTCGCGGCGTCTCGTAACGCGACGCGTCTACCGCAAAAATTCTCCGTGCTGTACCAAATTTGCCTCGGCGGGCTTCGCCACATTTCGCGCTCCCCCGAAATCACTTCTCGTCACACACACAACCGTTTGATGGGGCGCGCTCCCAGTCATGTCACACGAGCTTCAGCCAGTTCAGGTCAGAGTCAGGAGGGTAAATTCTGGGTTCGGTTTGGGGAAGAATTGATGTGGGAGTGTACAAACATCCATCCGACCGCGCATCGCGCATCGTTTGACCATGCACCATCGGTCTTCCCTTTCGTTCGACTCAGCCTTCCGGTTTGTTATCGGAAGAACAAAACGTTCAAATCGGTGTGCACACCCTAGGAAATTGACTCTTTCTGCTTAGACCAGCCACTGTGAGGTTGACACTCTGTGCACTACGTGAGGTCGAATCGGCACTCCGTGCAGTCACTGTGAGGTTGACTTCTTAACGTGGAGTTTTGATCAGCAGAAGAGGTGACATTAGTTATAAGATCACGAACATCGATCCCGCACGCCGCGGTTTAGGTTCTCACCGTCTGCCCCAATAGTAGATTAATCTCCGATATGGCCGACACGGCGTGGCGACTGGCGGCGCAAGAGGACGGAGAGCGAGTGCGCAAGCTGCAGGCATCGATGGCGTCGCTGACTGCAGAAATCGACGGCGCAGCAGCACAGGTGAGTGCGATCGGACAATTTCGAAGAAGCCCCACGGACTTATCGATTGAACTACTCGACTCGCCAACTGTCCCATTGGCGGACAATAACGAGGCTTTTTTTCTTTCAATCTGTAACGTCACCGCATCGGCTCGTTTTTCTCCGTCAATTGCTCGATATTTTTAGCAGGCTCTTCCTCGCCTCCAGCTGTCGCATCGCGCTGCGCCTCCATAGCCCTTTTCTGTCATCTCCCAAACACTCTCCGCGTCTTCCCCTCATCTTGATGTTGCCCGGCCCTATCGTGTAACCCTCCGTGTCCTCATGTCTTTCGTTCCCTTTTCGTGTCATTTCCGTGCCTCCCCCACCCTCTCCGCGTCTCCCGCTTGCGGCGGGCGTCACACAGGTGGACGCATTGCGCGGAACGCACGGCGGGAGGCCGGCGGACAGCACGGCGTGCATTGCGGCGAGCGAGGGGCTGATGCGGCTGCTGCTGCGACTCGACGCGCTGACAGACCTCCCGCCGTGGCTGTCGGCGGAGCGAAAGGCGCAGGTAAGGCGCAACCGAAAGGCGCAGGTAATGCGCAACACAAGGCGCGGGTAAGGCGCAACCGTAACGTCGGGCGCAAGCCTTCGGCGGAAAAACGCACTTCACGGAGAAACGCGAGGTTTGTGGTTCCGACTATTCGCCCGTTCCATTCTTCAGATATTCTCCTCGATTGTCTCTCTCTCAATCTCGCTTCTCCCGTCTCCTGTCCCTTTCCTTCTCCGTGTTCTCCCTCGCTCCTCCTTCCCCGCTCTCCCCTCCCCCTTCTACCCTTCCCTCTTCTCCCTCCCCCCCTCTTTCTCTCCATACCCAGGTGGACCGCATTCAACACCTCCTGAGGCAGGTGGATGCTACCTCAAAGTCCCTCGCCCCCGCCGCCAACCCCGCTATAAGCACCTTCGGCAACAGCCCATCCGCCGTGGGGGAGCCGTTTCCTCTTGCGCCCAACAACCCGTTCGCCCCCGAGCCTTCCGCGCTCTCGCAGTCGTTCTCGTCCTTCTCCTTCTCCCACTCTTCCGCGGGTGAGATTGACTTGGAGGAAGCTCTAGGCCTGAAGCCTAAGCCCTCTCCTGCTGCTGCTGCCGCTCCTGCTCCTGCTGGTTCTGCTGGTGGTGCGGCATATGGTGGTATCGACTTGGCACTATCCCCCTCGATCCACGATGAACCCTCCGCACTCTTTCCTTCCTCCCACAACACGACCCCGCTGCCTCCTCCTCCTGGTGCCAAGGCAGCAGCGGCAGCAGCAGCAGCAGCAGCGGCGGCGGCGGCGGCGACGGAAGCAGAGCGAAAAGCAGAGGAGAGTAAGAGGAAGGGGTCAGAGGCAGGGAAGGAAGAGAGGGAGAAGAGGCAGCAGCAGAAGGAGCAGGAGGAGCAGCAAGAGCAGGAACTGGGACCTCGCAAGGTGCGGTTTGAGAATGGAGTGAAGGCCGAGGACGGAGGCAGGGAGGCGGGCAGAGGGAGAACCGGCAGCAGCGGCAGCAGCGGAAGGCGAGAAGGAGGAGGAGGAGGAGGAGGAGGAAGAGGAGGAGGAGGAGGAGGAGGAGGAGGAGGAGGAGGAGGAGGAGGAGGGGGCGCGAGGGGGACGCGCTTGGTGCCGCAGATGCACGTGCCTAGCCCTGACTCAGAGATCGTTCAGTTCAGCACGTTTGCTTCTTTTGCAGGCCAGCGGCCGCTGCTGCATGTCACACCCAAGTCGGTTCCGAGGCAGGGGAGGAGGGAGGGCGCGCAGCAGCAGGCGCCGGCGCAAGCGCAGGAGAGTGGGAGTGCGGGGAAAGGGAGCAGGAAGGAGCAGGGGAAGGGGGCAGAGGGTTCCGGACAAGGGGAGAGCAGTCGTGTGAGTGCGAATACCCATTCAGCAGCCCATGGGTTGAAATCAGGGTCAGCACCAGAGGCAGCAGTAGCGACCGTTGCACCAGGCAGTAGCGCCAGCAGGAGTGGCAGCAGCAGTGGCGGTGGGAGCAGCGGTGGGAGCAGCGGCGGTGGGGGGAAAAGCAGGAAGCCTGCTTGGATGAAGGCCCCTGCTGCGTCCACTGAGCTCAGCACCTTCCCCTTGTCTGCTGTGTTCCGGAATCCGCCCCCCGTCGTGTCCACGCCTCCTGAAACTGCCGCCGCTGCTGCCGCTGCTGCTGCCGCCGCCGCCACGGCTGCTGCTAAAGCTGCTGCTGCTGCTGCTCTCTTATAAACTGATGGCAGGACCATCGGTCGCTTTTCGGCTGACCGTGTTGGGAGGAGAGGAAGGACGCATGCCGAACAAATTGTTTGCAAAGAACGGGTGCTTCAATGCATTTCCTCAGGGTTTCTTTCTAAGCTTGCACTTTCCACAACCTTTTTGTTCCAGCATGTGTTAGCCCCTCTTGTAGATTAGGCAGGGTATACACTCCCAACCAACAGGATTTGACTAGATATCAGCTCGGGGATGTTCAAGTTATTAACATCTACCATCTCTTGTGTGAACCTAGTTGTGTTGCGTCTACCTTTACAGCACATTAGGAATGTTATGCAGGATGTTTGAGTCCATCTACATGACGCAACTCCATTAAATTCTGAAAGTTGGACCATTATAAGGTGGTGCCAGCCTTCCATTCTAAGCAGTTAGCAACTGTTATGATATACCATGTTGTTTCATCTTGCAATAACCCTGTTTGTAAATCCTTGGCTTGCCTTGCCTCGCTAGAAGCTTATAATCTTGTCAAATCTGATTACAATCACATTTCAAATATTTTTTACTTCTTATACAGAACGCAGTTATCAATACTAAATGTCCAATCAGACGAAATCTAGACACATTCAGAAGATGCTAATTGTATCACGAAGTGCTGACCTTGTTACACATCGATGTATCTACATCACCAAAACACATTACAGATGAGATGTTAACAGCGCGAATGTTCTTCTCATGCCCGTTGTCAAGGCCATGACTGCTCTGGTGAGGGGAGGGAGCGAGGCTCGGAGGGTATGGCAAGCCGACGTTGGCAGAGGCTTCATGCACAGCTGGACGTTTTTTTGGGGGGGAACACACATGACTGGTTGACACATTGTTCTTGATCAAAAGTGCTTTGTATTTTCCCTACCAAGAGTCCGAGACGCGCAACCGAACTGACGTTCGAGACGCATGGCTGGCACTTTCCATCCCGAGACGCGAAATGTCAACCTGTGACTGCAGGGCAGGGGGAATGTTTCAAATTGGTTTCAAACAGTATGGCCGGTTCGATTTCAAATTCTCTCAATTTGCCGCGGGTGACGTTGGGCACCCTGAAACCGAGGCATGAATTCGGCTTTTGACACCTGACGCGGGAACCCAAGGTAGCGCGTGCTGGTTGGCTGTGGGACCAGGTTACTGGCCAACGTGTTCCGGTAATCTGGAAGGGAGTGGAATAGCGGAGGGAGAAACAGATACTGGTGTGAATGGGAACCTAGCTCCAGGGTTTCTGGCATAATCTTTTAATCAACTGTAACCCCCAAAATTAGTATACGATTTTCCATCGCCCAGAATAAAAATAAATGATATCCATTAATACCTCGTGATGTAAAGAATTTCCGAACTTACGAAGTTTCAGCGGGTCAGGAAATTTGGCTGACCCAGAGGGAAACATTTCTTCGTTGAAGAAATTCAGCAAGACTATTGATCCCGTCATTGCCCTTGTCGTCCCACCTCCCTCGACTCCCCCCGACACTGCGACGCCACACGACGGCCCCTGTCGACCCCTAATTTTTTACTGCACTAATTGCGCCAGCGCCTTTGGCTGCTTCAAGGATTCCGCAAGCCAGTTCGGCGCTCTGTGACTGATGAGCTAACGCGTTGGATCCAAAGTCACCGCAGCATTCGGCTAGCTCAGACTGGAGCTTTTGACTCAGTCCGGTGCATTGTAGGTTTCTTCTAGCTTCCTAAACCCCGCAACTACCTTGCAAGTTACCAGCACCCATGAGGTGCCTGCCATTGCACATTGCTGTTGCACCTACACATAGAGATACTTTTCCTTCTCAGGTTTGCCGAGAAATATTTCAGTAGATCAAAGCAGCCGCTTGCTGCTGGAGAAACATCACATACAACTGACCACTACTAAACTAGACGGCTGAATCTAGCGCTTACAGCTATCATACTAACTTCCACCTCGAACCAGGGGTCATTAGAACCGCGCAACCACTGCACAATCCCAATCAAAAACCCGTTGCTGCTGCGGCAGCCGCTACCGAATCCCATTGCGCGTGGCCTGAATACTGTTAACTGTTGTCGTGATACCGAATCCCATAGCTCAAACTCTCACTAACCATTGCCGAGATGGCGGTCGAGGTTCTGCAACCTCCCGCCGGTTACGGCGGCGGCTGCAGCGGCGTGGGAGGAGGCGGCTCGTGCGTCGGGTTACCCGTCACGGGCCGCGATATAACCAAGGACTACGATCTAGGCACGCGCTTGGGAAAAGGCTCTTTCGGAGCCGTGCACGAATGTCGCAACCGACACACGGGGTTCCGATACGCGTGTAAGGTGATCGACAAGGAGCAACTACGAGACGACGCTGACGTGGAAGACGTTCGCCGGGAAGTGCGGCTGCTGAAGCAAATGGCGGGGCACCCGAACATCGTGGAACTACAGGACGTGTTCGAGGACGAGTCGCGCGTGTATCTGGTCATGGAGCTGTGCGAAGGGGGGGATTTATTCGACGAGATCAAGGGACGCGGTCCGTTCGAGGAGCGAGACGCGTGCGCCGTTTTCCGTCAGCTCGCGACGGCCGTGGCTTACTGCCACGCGCAAGGGGTCATGCACCGCGACTTAAAGCCCGAAAACGTCCTCTTTCTCACGCCGGCGCCAGCACTGGATTCCACTACTGATGGGTGCAGCACCAGCAGCGGCAGCAGCAGCGACGGAATCACAACCAACCACGGAAGCAGCCGCGGAAGCGGGAGCAGCGCCAGCAGCGGCAGCGGGCGCAGCAGCAGCCCCGGCGGGCGCCCACGGAGCAGCGGCGGCCGCAGCAGCGGGGAAGACGGCAGCGGCCGCGGTGGGGATCTGGCCAAGCGGCAACTGCGGCCAGTTTCTACTAAGCTTGCGGATTTCGGGCTTGCGATCGAGCTTGGGTCGGGGGAGACGGCGACGGGACTTACGGGGAGTCGATACTACACCGCTCCGGAGATGGTTCGGGGGAAGCGTTACGGCAAACGCGCAGACGTCTGGTCTCTCGGTGTGGTTCTCTGCACGATACTTACCGGCCGTCTGCCGTTCGCCGGTAAAACTCACGGCGACGACGAGGGACTGAAGCGGTCGATCTTACGTGGAAACATCAACTTCGACGCCGCGGTCTGGCGACACGTGTCATCAATGGCGAAGGATCTCGTTCGTCAGATGCTGACGGTGGATCCACGTAAGCGTCCCAAAGCGCGCAACGTGCTGGAGCACCCATGGTTGAAGACCCAATGCTGCGGCGCGCCGACGTGCGCGCTTAACAGCCGCGCGTCGTCTCTTAACGGCAGCGCCGCGGGCTCCGCCGGCGGCAGCGACGGCAGCGGCGGCGTCGCGGGCTGCGCGACGGCCGCGGCGGGCCCGGGGAGCGGGGCGGACGCCGCCGCCGCCGCTCTAGAGGAAGCGTGGCCCGTGGCGAGCCGGCGGAGCCTCACGCAATTCTTGGATGCTCTGGAGGAATGGAAGGAGCGGGAGAAGGAGGAGCAGCTGGAGCAGCTGCAGCGGCAGCAGGCGCTGCAGGAGATGCGGCGGGAGCAGCAGCGGATACGGCAGCAGCAGCGCGCGCAGGAGCAGCAGGCGCTGCAGCAACTGAACCCATACCTGAAGCAGCAGCAGCAGCAGCAGCAGCAGCAGCAGCCGCCGTCGTCGCCGCAACAGCAGGGGAAGCAGCATTCGGCCCCGTTGTCGGCTCCGCAATCCCCCGCGCCATCCCCGCGGTCGTCGTCGCAGGCGCAAGGCCATCCGATTTCCGCGCAAAATCTGCCTCCGCAGCTGCAGCAGCAGCAGCAGCGGAAAGGAAAGCTCGTCCCTCTGAGCGTTGTCCTGCCAGAGCTGCTGGATTGCCCCTCCGCGGAACACCTTCCGCGCACGCCCATATCCCCCGCGCTCACCCCCGCCGGCACCCCCACCCCTACGAGTTTCAACCTCCCCGGAACTCTCTCTCCACCGCCCGAGCCTCTCCCCATGCCCTCCCGCCCGCAGTCTCCCGCCGGGCCTTTCTCCCGCTCCGCGCACGCACGCCCTGCGGGGGCGGCGGTCGCGGCCGCCGCCTTAGCTGCTGCGGCGGCGGAAGGCTGTCGGCGCGCTCTATTCTCGTCCGCGCATGGCGGAACCACCCCGTCGAGGGGGGAGCGAGTGCACGGGGGAAGTGCGCATGGCGGGCAGAAGAAGCAGGGCGCGCAGGCGCACCAGGCGGAAGGAGTTGCGCATAGGCGCGCGCACGGGCAGGGATACGGCGAGGGGAATGGATCTTACCGCCGGCAGGGCAGCGACCAAGGCAACAGGCACGGAAACGGGCAGGGAAACGGGCAGGGCAGCGGGCATGTGCACGGGCACGGGCATTTGTCTGTGCTGAGTCACAACGTGGGTGCGGCCCTGGCTCCGTTCTCTCTAATTGCTCGGCGCGCAGCAGGCTCTCACAGGAGACATGGTGCCTCTAGTAACCATGCTGCTTGTAGTAACCACCACGCCGCCTCCTCTGCCGCCAATGCTTCTACCCACCTGCATTCCTCCAGCGGTTCACTGCTTCTGCTGCTGCTGCTGCTGCTGATGCTGCTGGTGTCTCCTCCACTGTTGCTGCTTCTGGCGCTGCCGCTGGCGCTTCTGCTGCTTCTGCTACTGGTGGCGCTGCTGCTGCTGCTGGTTGTTCGAGCGTGTCAGCGAAACCGTCTGCTTCTGCTGCCCCGTGCACCTTACCGTCGGCTTTCCAAGCACCTGGCGTTAACGGGCAGAGTAACGGGCAGAACAACGGGCAGAACAAGGAAAACAATGGCGGAAACGGGCCTACTGCATTGGAAGCGTCAGCACCAGCACCAATTCCAGTGCTAGGGACTCATGGGGAAAGAAACAGGGGGGGTGGAGGAGGAGGAGGAAGCCGAGGAGGAGGAGGCGGCGGCGGCGGAGGAGGAGGAGGGGGAGGAGGTTGGGAGGGAGGAAGGAGCAGCGTCTTTGCAGTGGCGTTTTCTCGCGGTGGGAGCCGGGGGAAGGGCAGTGGTGGCGGCAGCAGCAAGGCTGTTGGCGGTGGTAGGGTGCGGCATCCTTCCAGCCCGAGATCGAGTTTCAACGGTGCAGTGTTTGCATATACAGGTAGTGCGGGTGGTGGTGCTGGTGCTGGTGCTGGTGCTGGTGCTGCTGGTGCTGCTGCTGGTGCTGGTGGCACTGGTGCTGAAGCAGGAGGACCAGCTGCTGCTGCTGCTGCTGCTGCTGCTGCTACCATGTCTGCGAAACATGCACGGAGCATGGATGGGAGTGTTTCACGAGCATCCAAGATACCCTTTTGGCCGGCTGGAGGCTCTGCTGCTATCAACCGCTAAGAGGAAAAGGGGATTTTGGTGGGTCGGGCAAGGAGCATCTTGCCAGACAATGCTCTGGTCCTCCTCTCCCTCTCCGTCTCCGTCTCCCTCTCCCTCTCCGTCTCCGTCTCCCTCTCCCTCTCCCTTCCATGCCCCATCTATCCAGTCTTCTTTCCCTGCTTCTTGTCTCCCTCCCTCCCTTCCCTTTAACCCCTCTTGCATTTTGCCGCTCTCCTCCTCCCTCGCCTCCCATACAGCACTTGCCCTAGTGCAGTGCTCACCCTCTCCCTCTCCCTCTCCCTCTTTCCCTGCTTCTTGTCTCCCTCCCTCCCTTCCCTTTAACCCCTCTTGCATTTTGCCGCTCTCCTCCTCCCTCGCCTCCCATACAGCACTTGCCCTAGTGCAGTGCTCGCCCTCTCCCTCTCCCTCTCCCTTCCATGCCCCATCTATCCAGTCTTCTTTCCCTGCTTCTTGTCTCCCTCCCTCCCTTCCCTTTAACCCCTCTTGCATTTTGCCGCTCTCCTCCTCCCTCGCCTCCCATACAGCACTTGCCCTAGTGCAGTGCTCACCTGACCTGCGAAGGTCCATAGAGTTCCAACACAGGTTCTTCATACTTCTCTTACCTAGCCTGCAATGGCTTGGCTCCAGGACAGCACCACATGTTCAGTACTCCTTGATCTCTGCCATTTCCTATCTCCAAACTCGATATCTACTTGCCGTTTCCTTCAATATACCGTACTCGCAAGTGTTACTTGTTTTGATTTGGGATTAACAGTAATACGGTAGGCCTTTGCAAGTGTGATAGGGCAATGGTTGATTTGCCCCATTAGTCAGCCTCACTACATGCCTCCCCACATTGCTGTTGCACAGGGATAGTGGACATGGATTGATTTGTCATGCAATAAAAATGCACAGTAGTTTGCTAATACATGGTTGTCGAATGTAATGTAATCGATTTTCTTGCTTTGCATTACAAAACCAGAGAACCAAATAATAGAGCAGAGTATTTGACCAACACTGCCCAAGCATGTGAGTGAAGGCCTTTCAAATTGTTTTGAGATTTTGCTTAGTGCATAGCTCACAGTCTTGGTTTGGACCCATTCACTATCTTATGTTACTTGCGTGTCCACTGAATATCCATCAGCTTTTATCACATAGTGCCAAAAACAAGCAGTTCCCATCACCAACGCACGTTCCCCCCACTGGCGCACTTTCTCGCCAACCACCTCGTGAGTCACACCAGTCCCCTGTATCGTCCGTAGTGCCTGTTCCCCTCAGCTTCACGAAATGTTGACGGCTCGCGATCGTCGCAGTCCGTCCAGTTTGCCTTACATCGTCAGCTTTCAGAAATATCAGCTGCAGCAATGTTCAATCAAACGCGGCAGTGGAAACACTGTGCAAAAACGTTTTTTGGAAAAACAAATCAGAAGAACCGAGAAAGTGAAAAACTGTGTACTGTATTTGCTACTTCAACTATCCTCGAGATTGATTGGGCAGGCGGCATGCAACATTTTTTTGTGCCTCTGTTGTTTAAATATTTATTTTCCTCCGACGTTCCGCGACTCCCGCGCTGGGCGGCATCACTTGCAGTTCCTCTGCCTCTTCCTTTCCTTCCCTCTCCTTCCCATTCCCTCCCAACTCCTCTCCCAAGTTTCTGATTCCCAAGTTTCCACCGTGTGTTTTGCTTTTCGTTACTTCACCAGTAATTCTAGGGTTCCGTTCTTAGGGGTGTAGTTTCTTGACCGCAGTTTGGCAATTTCGCCAGTTAAGACGGAAAGGTTCACAGGCTGACAGTTTATTTATTTAAATTTTGTCAGAAAACGCTCGCACCATCACCATTTGCGCAAAATTCGGTGTGCGACTCGTCGTCTTTAGACCCGATTTTTCAAACGCACACCTTTTCCTATGTATATTTCTTCCCTTATTCGTTGTCGCGAGCACATGCCGAGAAGCGCCACGATGTACTTTGGGCAAAGCACGACCCTCACAGTTAACGGAGCGCCATGGTTTGGGTGGAGCGTTCGCCTGGCTTGGACTTTCCCGTTCTAAGGGAGTCGACTTAGGTATGAGCTAATGTGAATAGCTTGTGCATTGCCAGCTTGCGCGACTATAACGCCATAATCAATATCTGAATTCTGAATCGTGGGCATCGTGTCTTGAAGCGAGTGTCTCATGTCCTGATTGGGATTGAAATAGGTACTAGCTAGCGTCGAACCATGCCAAGAAAGTAATTCTTCATGGACCTTTTCCGTGCTAGCTAACGTCTCACCATGTTTCCGTCTTGAAGCCTCCTTCGTGCTGTATATGGTCACAACCCATTGCACCACGTTGCACCGCATCTTACCACCTTAAAAAGCCCGTTCAGCGCTTTTTACCACACTGAACGGACCTTTCTAAATCAGACCGCCTCATTTGTGTGTAACCGCTTTCGTTTCGTCAGGACACCAGTATTCGTATCGCTTCACACGCCCTAATGCCGTTAGGATATCAGCAGTATTTGTGTTCTTACTTTCTTCCCCCTAACTCCCCCCCCTTCTTCCCCCTTCCCCAAAACTCCCTTCCGCTTCCACCCTCCGCTCCTGTCTTTCACTCACAGCTTCCGCTCACACATTTGACGCTTAGCTAGCTCACCTTTCGTTGTCATTTCGCATTCATAATCCATCCTTTTCCGCTTCCTTCGTCCCCTCTTCCTCCCTCCCCTCTCCCGCCACCCATTTCCTTCCCCCGCGTTCCCTTCTCCCGCGCACCCTTTCCCCCCGCACCCTTCCGCGCTCCCCAGTGCGTCTTCCGCCTCCCCCAGCATGAGCCGCCATTATACCGCCACGCGCACCTCGAGCGGGGGAGCCGTCCGCGAGCGCTCTTCTCCGCCACTGCGCCCTTCCGCCTCTCCCCCTTCCGCGCACGCGCTAGACTTCAGACTCCCCCCCGCAGCAGGGGAGAATGGCGCAGTGTGGGACGGCGGGAGCAGTGGCGGAGAAGCAAGAAGCGCGCCAAGCAGGAGGGGGGCTTTGTCAGGCATGGGGGAGCCCCCCCCTCCGCCCGTAGGCTCTTTCTCCTCCGCCTCCCGCGCCTCCCCCTCTTCCGCCCGCCATCCCCGCTCCGCTAACCTGCACCCCCCCAAAGGCGCAAACTCCGCCAGTCAGCGCATGCCCCGTTCCGCCTCCGACGCCCAATCCCCCACGCGCGCCGCTTCCGCCGCGGGCGGCGGCGCGAGGAGAGGGGTGCGGTCTCCTAGATCCTCGTTAGGGGCGGATGAAGAGGTAGCTGTTCTTATGGCGGGGGATTCCCCCTCCGGTGCTTCTGACGCGCCTCTCCCGTTGTCCGCTGCGCGGACGCATAGTGGGGGAGTTATGGCGGCGGGGGCGAGAGCGCCTGGGGTTTATTTGCGCACTGGCTCGTTCGCGCTGATTGCGGGAGGCGCGGAGAGAGTCGCGGCGGAGAGAATCGCGGAGAGACGAGCCGCAGCAGCAGCAGCAGCAGCCGCCGCCGCCGCCGCAGAATTGAGCAATGGTGGTGGTGGTGGTGGTGTTGGTAAAGGTGGTGGAGTAGGGGGGATACATCCTACGGTTTCGCGCTCTGGAAGTAGAGGGGGAGGGAGTAGTGAGGGGGAGGGGACGCGTATAATGAAGAGAGCGAAGGGGGTGGGAGTGATTTCGGAGGCTTAGGGAGGAGGGGAAACCAGCAACAGCACCAGCAGCAGCAGCTGGGGTTGGGGCTGGCAGGTATAAACAGAAGCAGCAGCGCTGGTAGGAGCTATCACAGCCGTAGATTGTCTCGTGGAGAGGGAGAAGGAGGAGGAGGAGGAGGAGGAGGGGGATCAGACGATCAGTTGCATCGCCCATCCAGAACCACTCCCTCCTTCCGGCCCCACTCCCTCCTCTCGCACTCTGACCTCTCAGACGCGTCTCTTGCTCACTCCGACTCCAATCTCCCCCGCTCCGCCCCGCGCGCAGGCTCAGGATCCGTCCCCGTTATAAGGTCCGGTAGCTTCTCCCGCCGCCCGCCCTCTGGTGCGTCTAACTCTTCAGCAGGCTCTTATGGGTCGTTTGGGTCGGCGGGAGAGGGAGGGGGCGAGGAGAGGAGGCAAGGCAGGAGGAGGTCGTTTGAGGAAGGAGGGGGGAGAGGAGGTGTGGGCGGAGTGGGGGGAATGGTAGGGGAAGGACGGGCGGAGGAGGAAGTGAGGGTGGTGGCGGGAGCAGCAGCGGTGGCGGAGGGACGGAGTAGCGAAAGCAGGGGCGCGTTTAGGAGAGGAGAGCCGTTGGATCAAGCTGTGCCTGATGTTGCCTCGAGCAGGAATGGGCATGGGCATGGGCGCGGGAGAGGGGGAAGGGGAGGGAATGGGCGGGGAGGGCGAGGTGGGGACTTGGATGGAAGGAACCAGGTGCATGATCAACGGTCGTTCCTGTATGGACGAGAAGGGGAGGAGGAAGAAGGGGAAGAAGAGGAAGAGGAAGAGGAGGAAGAGGAGGAGGAGGAGGAAGAGGAGGAAGAGGAGGAGGAAGAGGAGGAGGGGAGGAGAAAGAGTCGAGAGGAAGAAAACAGGGCCGATTTTCGTTCCAGACACAGCAGCAGGGGGAGCGGAAACCTGCCCATCCCCACTCCGCCAACACACCCCTCCCCTCCGCCCCACACAAACCCCAGAGCCCCCCCAAACCGACCTCTCACCCCGGAACCCCCCCAAGACGCGCCATAAGGCCCGATGCTCCTGAATCCGGATCGTTTTCTCCTGACTCGGGTTTGGTAGGGGTATATGGTAGGGGCGAGAACAAGAGGGGTAGTTGGAGACTTGCGGCTTTGAGAAGACCGGCTGCAGGGGGGTATAGTGGGAGCGGTGGTGGGAGTAGTGGCGGTGGGGGGAGAGAGACGGATACGGAGAGCGCAGGGAGTTTGCAGAGCGACCGGGAGAGAGAGGAGGAGAGTTGGGAGGAGGGGGGGAAGAGGCGGGGTTACGGAGAAGAGGAGAAGGGGTTGGATGGGGTGGTGAGGGATTGGAAGGGTGACAGAGGCAGTCAGTCAATGAGAGAGAGTGGGGTTGTGGTGGGGGTGGGCGTGGGTATGGGCGTGGGGAAAGGTGCGGGGAGTGCAGGGGCAGGGAATGGAAAGTTTGGCGTTCGATCGGTTTCGGATGGAGATCAACGGACAGGGTTAGAGAGAGGGCAAGGGAGCCGGTTGAGTAGAGGAGGGAGTGGGGCTGGAGAGAGGGAGGGGAGTGGGTTATCACACGCTCGGTCTCCTGCTGCTGCTGGCGGTTCGACCGACCTTCATTCTAATGATGCTGCTGCTGGTGGTGGTACTGCCGCTGCTCATGTGATCAGACGAACAGGGTCCGGGGCAAGAAGTGTGCTTACTGCTGCTGCTGCTGCTGCTGCTGTTCTTGAGGTAGCGAATTCTAGTCTGGCGCAGGGAGGGCTAGGAGGGAGGGAACGGCTAGGGTCAAGAGGGAAGGAGATGCTAGGGTCAGGGCGGATCGAACGGTTGGGATCAGGGGGAAAGGATGTGTTAGGGTCAGGGCGGGTTAGGATTGGTCCTGGTGATGTGTTGGTGATTGAGGAAGGCGAGGGTAAGAGTGAGAAGCGAGAGCGGCGAGAGAGGGAGAAGAGGGATGGGAGAGAGGATAGAGGGACGGGGGAGAGGCGAGAGAAGAAGGATGCACGCGGAGGGGAGATGGGAGAGAGGGGAGAGAGGAGAGAGAAAGGGAGGGGAGATGGGGTTGGGTGGAAAGGGGATGGGGATGGGGATGGGGAAGGGGGAAAGGCTGGGAGGGATGGTGGTGAGGAGAGGAGGGTGCTTAGAACACTTACGAGATATGATGGGCATGTGAGGGAACATGAGAGGAATCTGGCCTCCTGTGGACGAACGCTGACTAGGTATGGAGGGGGGAAGGAGGAGAGAGAGGGGATGGGTGCAGCGGATGGGGTAGATAGAAGAGCAAGAAGGACACTTACCACGTATGGGGGAGGGTTGGTGAAGAGTGGGAGTGGGGAGGAGGGGCGCAGGGGGAAGGAGAGTGGGAGTGAGAAGGAGAGGGCGAGGAGTGGGAGTGAGAAAGAGAGGGGTAGAGATGGAGGCAGTGGAAGAGAGAGGAAGAGTGGGAAGGAGGGGAGAAGTGAGATGGAGGGAGGGAGTGGTAAGGAGCGAGGGAGCGGGAAGGAAAGGAGTAGTTCTTTAGGGAGACGCAGCAGTGGGAAGGATGAGAGATTGGTGTCTGAAGAATCGGAGATGGGAGAGATTGGAGAGTCGAGTGTTAAACTGTCTCAAAGATTGTCTCTCGGGAGGCGCAGCAGTGGGAAGGATGGGGTGGTGGTGGCAGAAGGAGCGGAGGTTGGTGAAGGTGAGAGGGAGAGGACGAAGGAGAAGGAGAAGGAAAGGCAGAAGGAGAGAGAAGGGGGGAGGGAGAGCAAGGAGCGGGAACGGGAGAAGAGAAAAGAGAGAGAAGGGAGAGGCGAGCGGTCTGGAGAGAAGAGAGTGAGCCGGCAATCAAGCAGTACAAGTGCGATTGAGATAAGTGATGGTGTGCTGCGAGATAAGGAGAAGAGTGGAGAGAGGGAGACGAGGGAGAGGGACAAGGAGAGGGAGAAGGAGAAGGAGAGGGAGAGGGAGAAACGGAAAGACAAGGACAGGGAGAGAAGGAAAGAGAAGGAGAGAGAGAAGGAACGGGATAAAGAACTACCAAGAGAGAACTCTAGAGGATCTAGAGAAGGAAAGAAGGCGGGGGAGGGGGAGGGGTCGAAGCGTGGTAGAAGTATGGAGAAGCACAAGAGTGCGGATCCCGAGAGAGAGGAGAGGAAGCGAGAGAGGAATGGGCTGGGTCGAGTTGATGAGGGGTGTGAGGCAGGGCTGGATCACACGTGGCCTAGGAAAGGGAGGAGTGCGGAGGGAGAGAGAGGGGTTGAGGAGAGTAGTAGAGTGACGGATGGAGGGAGTTGGGGGGGCTTGGGTATTGCAGAAGAGATTGCGGCAGCTGTTTTGCTGGTTGATCAAGGGGAAGGGGAGGGGGCGGAGAGGGTGGAGGGGAGGGAGGGAGAGGAAAAGGGGAGTGAAGTGGAAGGTAGGGAGGAGAAAGAGGGAGATAAGAGGAGAGAGAGGAGTAAGGAGAAGGAGCGGGAGAAGGATAGAGATAAGGAGGAGAAGGAGAAAGAGAAGGAAGGTAGAGACAAGGACCGGCATAGGCACAAGCACAGGCACAGGGAAAAGGGTAGAGTTGGAGAGAGAGAAGAGGAGAAGGGCAGAGGGAAGGATGAAGTTGCAGAGCATAGGACGAGGCATAGGGATGGAGAGAGGGAGAGAGGGAAAGACAGGGAGAAGGAGAAGGAGAAGGATAGGGAGAAGGAGAAGGAGAGCGAGAGGGATGGGGAGGGGGAGAAGGAGGAGAAGCAACGGAGTAAGGAGAAGGAGAGAGAGCGGAGGAAGGAAGGTGAGAGGAGCAGGCACAGGGACAAGGAGAAAGGAAGAAAGAGGGAGGAGAGGCACCGAAGCCATAAGGACAGAGAGAGGGGGAGTGAGAGAGGGAGTCAGAGGGGGAGTGGGAGAGGAGATGAGGGTCTGGCAGGTGGAGGATTAGGTGAGATTTCAGGTGAATTTTCAGGTGTGCAGATTGAGAGAGAGGAAAGTAATGCGAACAGTGGTGCTGGGCCTGTAACGCCTGGTAAGGATAACCAGGAGCGGGAGGAAAGGAAGGAGAAAGAGGGGTCTAGGCATGTGCACGGACATAGAGAGAGGGAGAAAGGGGACAGGTCGAGCCGGCATAGGCATAGAGATAAGGACAAGGATAAGGATAGGGGTAGGGATAAGGATAGGGATAAGGAGAAGGATAGGAAACGAGAGAAGGATGGAGACAGAGAGAAGGAAAGGGGGCGGGAGGAGAGGGAAAAGGAGAAGGGTCGGAGCAGTGGGAAAGAGAGAACTAGGGATACGAGTGAGGATGTAGGGGATGGTGGTGATGGGGACAGAAGCAGGGAAGAGAAGGATGTAGATAAGCAGGTGAAGGAACAAGAGAGAGGAGGCGAAAGAGACAAGGAGAGGGAGAGGAGGAAGGAGAGAACGAGGGAGAAGGAAAGGAGAAGGAGAAGGAGAAGGCGAAGGAGAAGGAGGAGGAGAAGGAGAAGGAGGAGGAGAAGGAAGGGAGGGGTGTTCTAGTGAGAGATCAGAGCAATAGTAGCTCTAAAGGCAGACACAGGGACAAGGGCCAGGAGAAGGAGAAGAGCAGAGAGCGAGAGAAAGACAAGGAGAGGAAGAAGGAGAGGGACAAGGAGAAGGAAAGGGAGAGGAACGGAGAGAAGGACAGGGAGCGGAGCGGGGAGAAGGAGAAGGAGAAGGAGAAGGAGAAGGAGAAGGAGAAGGAGAAGGAGAAGGAGA